AAATAGCAGTTAGATTTAAATTAATTTCTATCCTATATTACCTGGCTCGTCACGATGTTTTCTTAGACCAGAGGGTTATGAAAACTAGCTGTATCAAGCTTCATGATTTTAAAAAGTAGGTTGTGAATCTTACCATAAATCTTTGGAGCTTGTTCTGTGATTCTGTGACCTTTCCTGTATAAGGGCGAGAACCTGCCAAAAAGGCTGGGTATATTTTGATAAGTTGTTAAGAGCACGGTCATCCGCTTCGATCCCAGATGATTGTAGATTCAAGCAGAATATTGTTGGAATCACATCGCAAGCTTAGCACAAAAGCAAGCAGCCTTTTGTTGTAATATTTGATGAGAAGTACTCGATTTATTTTGCTATCATAGTTATTTTTAATATCCACAAAAAATCCGAGGACCCCAAAATATTTACAAAAATTTCGTGGGACCCCATAAGTATTGCGCAAATCCGACACACGCGTGAATGAAACTGCCAATTTTTAAAATTATTATAATAAGTTAAAGAAATATCAAAACTGCTAAAATTTTTGGCGACCCCCTGCAGCAGGTCCCGCGACCCCCATGGTGTCGCGGCCCACAGTTTAAAAAATCCTGCTGTATTTGATAGTAAATAGTAGTAGCGACGTCAACTTCCCAAGCTTTAATTTAAATTCTTTGGTTAGATTTAGATAGGACAAGTTCATTCCACTGCAGGTTTCGTTTGCTTTAGCTGAAGACTTTTGTAGGGAAATTGTCTCGTTTACACGTTAAACATAGGGAAAACCATCAGATCGCTCAGGGGGGGAGGGGGGGGGGGGGGAGGGGGGGGGCGGGGGGGGGGGGGGGGGGGGGGGGGAGAGGGGGGGGGGGGGGGGGGGGGGTCGAGTGGGGGGGGGGGGGGGGGGGGCCTACAGGCGGGGGGGGGGGGGGGGGGGGGGGGGGGGGGGGGGGGGGGGGGGGGGGGGGGGGGGGGGGGGGGGGGGGGGGGGGGGGGGGGGGGGGGGGGGGGGGGGGGGGGGGGGGGGGGGGGGGGGGGGGGGGGGGGGGGGGGTGGGGGGGGGGGGGGGGGGGGGGGGGGGGGGGGGGGGGGGGGGGGGGGGGTGGGGGGAGGGGGGGGGGGGGGGGGGGGGGGGGGGGGGGGGGGGAAGGGGGGGGGGGGGGGGGGGGGGGGGGGGGGAGGGGGGGGGGGGGGGGGGGGGGGGGGGGGGGTCACAATCGTACCCGGTTCAGAATTACAAATGTTCAGATATTTTACCGCTCGGTCGCTGGTGTGCTATTTTACTCTATCGAAGTTGCAAGGTAAGATTTTTTTTATCCTATGTGTCCTATGTGTGAAGGCGTCCATCAGTTTAGTCAGCTAACGTTCATATGCTTTTCTTTAATAAATTAACAAACTTGAGCACGCAGGGGAAAGACATACTGCACGCAGAGATCTCAGCACTTTGAAGTCGTCTCTGAACTAAAAACTGAGAATAGATGTTCTCTCTGGTCTTACGTAATTTTCCCCCGACCAACCGGAAATTTCCTGTTCCTTTCATTTCTCGAAATTACTGGAAACTATATCGGTTAAAGTATACATCTAAAGGCCCGATACTGTTATAGTTACATACAGGGATCAATTACAGTTATTCAATTGCAGTACCAATAACAGTTATACAGAGACCGAACCCTAATGTCCCTAAATGGTCAATATGTTTGGAGACTTTTGGAGATTTCTCGCCAAATGTCGAAACAAAAAAATAATCGCCAAAAGCATTGCCAGCTTGACGATATCTCGCCAATGTAGCGAGATAGCCATTTACCTCAATGTTAAATAGACTTGCCCCTACAACCTTATTTTTTCGGCAAAGCTTTCGCATTCTTAACCCTTTGTGACACGCATATTTAAAATATATTTTAATCTTTAAAAAAATGCCTTAGAATAAGTCAGATGGACTTACTTAAATGTCTTTAAGGCTTGAAAAACATTCTGCGCTTTTATTTTTTGCGTGGGAAGGTGGGATACCGTTTGTCCCACCATGCAACTAGCACATGTCATACAGCATATTGGTGTATAGCAGGAAAAAAAATTATATGTGGAATGAATAAACAAAATAAAGCGTGCATTCTAAAATATTCATAATAAACACACTAAAATGCATTTTGTACTTATTGCATATATGCATGACTTGTAAAATTTTGCATATGCACATTTTGCATTATATATATTTAATATTTTTGAATTTTAGGAAAAAAAGAAAATATTTTCTTGAATATTATTTTAAGATTAAAAATTTGATACACGTACATATGATACTAAATAAAATATTAAAATTGGCACTTGATTCAAAAACATTTATATATGATTAAAAATGAAAAAAGTCATTTTTCATAAAACTTTGAAAAAACATGTTGTTTCATTCTTTTGTAAGTATGGAGGCACTTCACATGTTTCACACATCCAAAATGTTCGGCGTTCTTCTTTCGATGTGCTGCAATATGCACATCTTTCTGCCTGCTCCTTCTCTCTGGTGTGTAACTTACATTTTTTAGTCTTTTCTGGTTGTACGAATGGTTTTTTAGTTTTTATTTGAACTGGGGATTTCAGTTCATTTTTTTCAGCTCTTTCTTGCCTGCAAATGCCATTAGACCTTCTATAACTGAGAGACTAAAATCTTTCATTGTTTTTACAACATGATCGGGTTCGCGAACAAACTTAAATAGAATAAATGTGTTTACTATACTCGCATCTAAAAAGTAAAAAAAAAAAAAAATATCCTGTGCCACCATTTCTTGCTTTTGCGGCCTATATTTCATATAATCCTTTCAGTTGATCAAATAAGTCGACATATTCCATATTCTTATATATGAAATAATGCTGTTTGGGCACAGTACTTTTTTTGTTGTTTTGTTGTTATTGTTTTTCCATCTCGTTCTTTTCTATTAATTTCTTTCAATTTCAGTTGCCTTTTCCAAGCAAGACAGGATAGAAACGGATCTTTTATCCTTCCAATTTTTATGCAATAAATTGAATCATTGCTAACTGAAAAGTCTATATCATTCCTCTCGACATATAAATTTGTCTTCTTTTAAATTTTTGGGAAGATACTTCCGACCCATATTTACAGTGCCACATGCATAGATGTTCTGTGTCTTTAAAAAGCGAAATAAATTATAACTACTTCCCTTTCTTCTTCAGCAATAACTTCAACCTCAGTTATTCTCTCCTGGATTTCAATTCATCTGATCAGAAATGACATCTGAAGCATTTCAGTCGCAATTGGATGGCAATTCAGCAAAAACGATTTAAAGCTTCCTGAGTTGTTAATTTTTTTTTGCACATTTAGCACATCAGAGCATATAACGGATGTAAAAGTGGCGCAATCACGAAAAAAGTAGATGCAAAAAAGAAAAGAAAAAAATAATCGTGAGTGCTGCCATCTATTGAGCGGAAATTTCAAGTGTGTGGGGACAAATTTTAACCCACTTATTTCAACTTCAAAATTAATGTTATAAAAATATTAAATCCAATTAAGATTTTTGAAAATAAAATACTTTGAATATTAAAAAGAATCATACATATCTAAATTGTATACCAAAATTTTAAAATATTGAAAAATGCGAGATACAGGGATATCATTCTTATGATCCTATTTTGAATATTTTTTTGCTTATAAACTTAAGCCCTGGTATAGTAGTGACATCTACAGAGAAAAATAATAACTAAAATAGATTATTTTTAAAAGATTAGAAAATTTCTAACGGAAATTGCTAACTGAGAAAATAAATATTAAGTAGGTGGGACATGTTTTGACCCACCATGCCGCAAAGGGTTAAGGAATTTAATGTGGCATTTACAAGATACCTCAATTTTACGTATAATTTCACTAAAGTTATTTGCACATATATAAAATTCGTAAAAATATTTTCGGTTATTTTTAAAAACTTCTTGTTGCGTAAATAGTTGAAGGAATCCCCAGGCTCAGTTTTAAATAAACTTTTTACTGCAAACTTGTTATTTTCTTTTTGCGAAATATTTGTTTCTGTTGCCTGTTGTTCAAGAGGCTTACTAGAGTTTTCTAGCTGTTTCGGATTTAAATTTTTTCCTTTTCTACTGATTTTGAAAGACACTTTTTGACCCAGAAATATGCTAATTGGATACTAATAAAAACTGAAGGAGAAGAATGTGAACGCGTGTTGATTTCAGGTTAAAGTAGTTACTACAGCAGTTTTTCTGTTAAAATTGATATCTAGATGCTGTTTATTGTGTTTCGTATTTCAGCCTGGAATAATATATTTGGTTATTATAACTTCTGAACCAAATCAGTTAACTCAAAATGAGACAAAATTCAGCTTCAGACTGGCACTGATTTTGCAGAAAATCTAAGAAGCCAAAGGGCAAATTCTGGCAATGAATATTTTTGCTCCTTGAAGAAGTAGACAGCGTTAAAAATCTCTAGTGAAATAAGTAGAGTTTTCCTATAAAAATGCGCACTAATGGATTGAATTTTGTCCAATTTTGAATTTGAAATTTGATTGTTTCTCTTCCATATACTGCCCACTGAAGTTAAGATTTATGAAGTCTGAATAATGAAAAGCTTGATGTTACATCATGCTTAGTAGGTATGCTCTCTTTATGGATGTACACTTTGACTGTTTTTCAAAATCTGATGCTTCAGTCTTCATAAAAGCTTCTTGTTACTGATTGTTTAATCCGCACACTCTTCTACAAATGTCTATTAAACATATTATTTATTTGGGAGCGTAATATTTGGGATATCGCGTTGAATATGAGCGTAACTGATATGGTAACGTCTTATGATAACATCTAAAATTCGAGAAACTGTTGTCGTAATTTCAAGCAGAAGTTTACAAGAAATTTTGAGATTTTGTAGCTTTCATTGCTGCAGTTAGTCTGCCTTTAACAACAAAGATAGTTAATTGGATAATAATAAAGACTGGTTATGCATGTCAAATAAGAAATTGGTTACAGCAAGTGTTACGTTTGAAGAAAAACTAAGCGGCAACACATACCTGGAGCACCCTCTTGGACAACCCCGTCTTCTGGGCAAGCTGCTTCAGGTCTTTGGCATCGGGATTCTGGTTGATGGCAAAATAGGATTTCATCGTCCTCAGCTGGTGATGCTTGAAAGAAGTGCGCATGCGCTTCGTTCGCTGAGGGCCTGTGGGGTTGAGGCCTGTGGAGGTGCCAGAGTTGGAGTCGAGAGAGGAGAGATGGAGATTACAACCATCCGCCGCCTCCATCACTGTGAATTGCAAAACGTCACTTTCAATTAGTATTATGTTAACTTGCGAGGTCAACTTTATACTGATATTTAAATCTCAGATAAATTAAATTGTTGAGCCTTTTCTTACTTTTCACATACATTTGGTCCAGTAAACTTTCTAATTGACACATGAAGATTTTACAATATGTAGGGCTATTTCAATAATACTTAGAGTTATTAACTATGCTTGCTCTAAGACCTTGAAGGCCTGGATTAGAATCATCAAATAGGAAGTTAATACAAATAAAAAAATTACTTTAATGTATACGTATGGTCTAAGTGAATGTAGCTAATCTTCTTTTTGGTTACCTGCAGCTGGGGGGGGGAGCAAAATTAATACTGACATTTATATTGAAGTGACACTCAGCTTAGAATATGAAATAAATTTATGAAAGAATATATGAAATTTTTAGCGAAAGAGCAGAGTAAAGTAACATCATCTTTAAAAGTATGCGGGAAATATAACCATAAAAAATTTATCATAAATTTACTACTCTTTCAGGAAGCATTCATCCTTCGATGGAAATAGCTATAACTTACTTTTCTAAGAAGTATATAAATATGCTTAAAAGTAAAAGTTTACTGAACTGCATTGGGCGACTGAGAGGGAGGGATTTCTCTATTCGAATCAAGAGTGCTCAGATTTTCAGGTTTTCTGAGCCCTACTGAATGAAAGGAAATGATTTGATGGACCGTGTTGAATACATAATATATGCAGGATATGTAAATTAAGAAACTTTATTTATTTTTTATGCATTTTTAAATTTAATTAAACGGAAATTCGAAGCATAAAAGTAGGAGGTTATTTGACCTTACTTTGAGATAACTAATTCTTCAGTGTCTGGTTCGTCCGAAGCGATTGCAGCGCTTAGTGAGTTCTAAATATTCAGATCTGTTATTGAATTTTTAATTTTCTTTGTTTCACCTTGAAAACAGATTCTCACCAATGCAAGTGCTGCTGAATTGAGATGATAATGCTTTTCCATAAGAAAGGGTATTCGGCAAAAAACAAGAATCACTAAATGTCAAAAGTCTCCTAGGAAATAAAGCAATTTTCCCCTTTTCTTTCTTTTTTTTTTCTTCGTCCTCTTTTTTAAATTAAAGTTTTTACTCACACTTAGCCTGACATTAACCGCTTTAAAAATGCAGTTTCTCAAGGGAGTGAGTACGCAGGACATTCTGCACATTGTAAGATCAAAATGTTTGGGAAAAAGCAGCAACGCCATGATCATCTTGGAAGACATCTCCAAAGGCACAGGTCATTGTACTGAAGAAGTGATGCCTGTCTTGTGAATCCAAGACATACCAAACCGTATCTAAATGCCTTTATTGCTGCGCATTATAATGTCTTATCTTACTTTGAAAAGTGGATGTTAAATGCAGCCCGCTGTAAAATGAACCGAATGGCATTTACTTTTATTTTATGTGCGTACATATATTGCTAAACTTATAATGTTATATTAATAATATTAGAAATAGATATTTTGTTTTATTTTACCTGATCTTCAGAAATATCATAGCTCGATTTTCCTGCACTGAATTTCACTTGTTGAACTTATTATTATATTTCATTTTTGTAACATTAATATTGGTACTCTAAAATATAAGAATTTCTTTTGACTGTAATATTCCAGAAGAAGCTGAGAAAGTGTTAAAATACGGACATGACAATTATACACGACAATTTTCAGCATAATGCATAATACCTATTTTTCATAAATTCGCATAGTATCGAACATTTTAAACGATGCTAAGCACCAATTTCCTAAAATACTTAAATTTTTAATTGAGCTTTTCTTTTTATCTGCCTGCAGTGGTATCTATTTGCTTATAGGATGTTTCTATATAAAACTTTCAGAAGGTTAAGTTCGCAGTTAAATTGGCTCTTTAAGTAATAGTTCAGCACAATGACATTCAGAATATGCTGGATTTACTTAGTTGCAAGACTTTGTTTTTTAATAAGTGGAAGGAAAATTGTTGGTAACGATATTTTAGATCACTTCGATTTCCCAGAATATTTTCTTCAGAGTAGTGATCTTTCAGGTTATCATAGTAAATAGAATCTAAAAATCGCACTTTAAATTTTTTTGAAGATCCTGAATAAATATATGTTCAATAGATAATTTTTATTTAAGAAGAACCACGAGAATTTCACAAATTTGAGATTAAAATAAACATCACAAGCACATTTCAAATATTTATTGATTTTATTTTACAATAGAACACACAATGCAATTTATAACGAAGCATCAACATTTATTATTCAATCCAATCCATTCCTTTCTTCAGTCGCTTACGTTTCGAACAACAAATTTTTCAAATGATTTGCATTATTTAGAATGCATTTTAGACCATGTTATTTGGAAAAGATGTATTAGTTTACAGAATATTATTCTAAAATCACCACGGCGTAATATTACAGTTTGTTGATGGATATCTTACACAACTCCATTGAGGATAGTTGCATATTAATAAGTCATCAGCATACGTTTTCCAAAGAATATCTCTTCTTTTAGAAACCACATGGCAAGCATTTACTGTAGCACAGTCATAGATTCTTTGGCAATATATTATGCTATCCTTATCTTCAAGTAACCATGGTCTGTCGAGATATATTACACAGTGATCTAGCTCTGAAGCAAGGAAGTTCTGTGACAGGATATTGGCCTGATGTTGAAATCATAGTTTCTCGCACCCTCGGTATTGCATATTACTCAGAAATCTGTGAGATTTCGTGTAAAGCATTAAAAAATATGTTGCTCACAAAGTAAGAGTCTAAAGAGATGATGACTGTTATAATAAACGGTACTGTATGCCTTATCCTTTAAAATAAATAACTATTTCAGTTATATTTTATGTTATTGGTTTGAGCTTCAAAATCGACATATTCCCTGTGACACATTCTTTTCAGACTTCCTTTTATCAAAGCATCAAAATTGGTTCAAGTTTTATTTATTTATTTGTTTACAGGAAATTCGCCCAAATTAGGATAAATTAAAGACAAAACTTAGCATCATGAAAATATCTGCATTAATGAGCGACATTCACTTACTTAGCGTTTGCGACAGCAAGCCTTCTCTGACTACAGCATCCGTTGTCTTCCTTTTACGAGGGCGCCCCTTCCTCACTGCCCCTGTTGCTCCCGAGAAAGAAGCAAATGCCCCTGCGGGAGGACTGTTGGCGGGCTCGTGGCTTGGATGCAACAAAGTGACACCCGGATACCTGTTAGAAAAACACAGCTATAGTTTTTTGTATCAAAACATAATTTATTTTCATTGTGAAACATTATAAATGTTCGAAGCTGGTATCTCATATGAAACTTCATTTATTTGAGATGTAAAAAAAATATTGTTATGGCCCATTGTAACTGTGTGTTCAATCTGTCAAGATTTTCTTGGACACAATATTCTGAAATTAGCTGCCGATTAGAGTACATTCTCAGCTTCTTTCAATGGTTTTGCAAGAAGGCTTATATAAGAACTGCTAAGTACTAGCAAATAAAGCTAGTTGTGAGAAGAAATACTACGAGCTGTAGGACATATTTATTTCTTTTTCACATAAACTATTATCATGCAAGCATAGCTATCATCTAACATGTAAGCTCGGAAGCAAATCTATTCATGCAGTATGCAATTTGTATCATTCAGTTTGCAGTTTGCTTAAACTGAAAGGCGGTTGCTGGAATGACAGATTTATTCGAAGAGTAACTTTTATTTCCTTAATTACTGTTCACTGTTAAATTTCAGAAACAGATAATTACAAGAAATCTTTAACTTATTGAATAACGATGCAAAAATTATACGGGGCCACATAATAGTTCTACTTGTAATATCTTTTACTGTGAAGCATTCCCAAATACAACTTTTTTCATTACATTTAAAAATCTTGTTTTTAACTAGTACTTGCTTTTTATATGCATGGCGAATCGGTAATAAGCGTTGATGATTCGTTTGTAGACAATTTTCTTTGAATTTTTTAAAAATTGTATATATTTTTTTAATTGGAAAGTTATTTGCCATAACTTGAGTTCTTTGACTGTCGGCACTTCAGCATTATCAAAGCATGTCATTCTTAACATTAGCACAAGATATTCATGGCTAAATACAGATGGAATAACAAGAACTGACAACAAACATCCTGAAAACGTTTGACGACAGAAGCTCTTCGGAAAAGGCGCTGCAAATATCCTTGTGATGCTAAATAGTGAAGTTCTCGAAACATCTAAGAATCAAAACCGTCAAAATATCTTCTCATATTCTGGAGCATAGGGATCTAAAATATATTCTTAAGATATCAAATCAGGAAGTTCTCAGGACATATGATAATAAAATTTTTCAGGATATCCTCAGTGGGCTCGGAATTTTTCGATACATCCTGAAGATATTCTGTGTCCTGTGTTTTGAATATAAAGATTATTGCTACACTTTGTACTCTGACTTTACGAATTTGCATTAATAACTAATAAAAAAAGGGCAGTTTTAATAAAAAAAATTGAAAATAGATATATATATAAATTGAAAATCACATCCTGTTTTACAAGATAGAAACAACTGGACTGACCTTGGCAGAAGGGGTCCACCTTCACCGTTTGGTAGGAAGTTCTCTCCGTGTAACATGAGCTCGTAGTGTACCCTGCAATACACAAGGTTGTCTCGCAGGCCAAAATAGTCGCCCTGCGTCAGCGCTGTGTTGCACCAGGCACACGTGAAACAGTGCAGATGGTACACCAGGTCCCTAGCCCGCATCACCAGCTCGTTGGCAAAGATACCACGTTGGCAGCGGGCACATCTCTTCACCGCAAATAACCTGTAAAAGCAAAGTTTCACTTAAAATTGAACTATTTGGATTAAGGTGTAGGTAATGAGTGCAAAAAAATTAAAGGTAATATTAATCAGAGGTAATACTGATACACCTCTCTTATGTTTTACAAAATTCGGTATAAAGTTGACTTTGAGTTCGGTTCTGTGGAAGTCGTATACTTTCTCAGGAAAAAAAAAAATTACTTTGCCAATTTCGGGACTAAAATTGATACAGGTTAGGCTTATTAGTCCTTGGAAACATTTTATGTTGAAAAGCTATATTGGTATTTTAAATAATCAAAAGTTTGTTAGATTATATGATGAAAACCTCATGCACATAATAAAACAAATCCACATAAATAATTTAGATGCACAATTATTTCACTTCCTTATATAACTTTGTTATTGGATGATTGTCAATGCAACTCACATTAATGTCTCTTCCTTCAGAAAATTTTTCCATTCATCTAACATTTACGAGCAATATTAAGTGGATCTCTAATCAGTCTGGTATCATTTACCTATCTTACGTCATAGGATTATTGACATTTTCTGATGGCCAATGTCCATACACTCAGAAAAGGCTAAAGAATCTAGATGACATAATCGGACAAACCTGAAACAGTTAGATGGTTGAGAAAGTTGACCTGTGCCAGTTAATTAATAAGTTTCAAAGTTAAAAATAATTAAAGGAACATCTGAATAATTTCTGAAAAATTAAACAGATTTTTGGAATTTTCAACTGTATGATGCAAGGAGCAACTGCGTTTTGGTAAACATGAAAATTGCAACATACAAAAGCCTATCAGTGGCCGCGTGGGTAAAATCACAAAACACCAGTCTTTCGATCAGAATTATTTTCTGACAAATGGCCTGATTTCAATTGATTTTCTTGACTTTTTCGGTATCAAATATGAATACGAGCCAGTTTCCTTAGAAAATCCATAATGGATTTCAGTGTGTCATTTTATTATTTTCAGTTCTTCTGTTTTCTGTAGCTTAATAGATGACCACATTGCATTATAATTTGCAAATTATCACTGGAGTTTTACTTCATAACAATAATCAACCAATAACCGACCAAACCCTTAAAAAGTCTTCCTTGACGAAATACCTTCCATAATCATGTAATATGTGCTTTGACATAATCGATTAAACTTGCGACATAAGAGGAGTGCATAAATATGCAGAAATGAAAATGTATAAACGCCGCTCCCCCCTTCAAATACTTATGCTTGCGGGAAATCGTAAATGTTCACGCAGACTGGGTACAACTGCGAAACTGTATACTTGGTATCCTGCATTTTTATTTCCTACTTAGCTTTTCCGCTCTTACAAAAACAATAAAATGAAAACTTTCAAAGCAAAAATTTTTTTCTCTTCAATTCTGAAATTTGAGATAAATCGTAAGTTTTTAGTTGCTAAATACAATGAAAGACTTTTTATAAAATTTAAAAGTGTAAGATTTTTATTGTTTGATTTTGGCTCTATAAATTTAAAAAAAATTAAGAGTTACTTATTCATTATTTTCATGTTCGAAAATATACAGAAACTTCTCCAAGCAACTACCCCCGAAAGTGAAGGCCATTGTCTGTGTATTTTAAATACTTGAAATCTTTAAAATACAACGATATTGTATGAAGAAATATTGCATATTTCCTGTCATTTGTAATACAATTTTTAACCAATTAGATAAACAATATTTGTATGGAAGTCGCTTACCTGCAAGATGATACAACTTTTCTTACAAAAGATTAGATAAATAATAAAACTCCCACTAAATTTATTAACTTCTTTCTTAAAAAATCTGATGCTAACTATCAAATTTAATCTCGAATCCAATAACATAATAATGACATTACTTTAAACTGGTAAGATGAGTAAATCAGGAAGTGTTTATAAGTATTGGAGATTTCTGTACATTTTGTTTTTAATTTCTATAAATTTTATTACTATAAATTTCTGGCTCTTTACTTTCACTAATTAGGCTGTCTTATTTTTAAAAAGTTTTCAATAACGGCCAATATTCAGTGAAGACTTTTTTTACCATTCTTTTACTTTTTTTTCTCTTTTCTTGAGTTTTAGCACGAAATAATTATTTTTAAAAATATTCTATAACTCCGGTTCTGAATTCTTCTATTTTAATTTCACTGCCTCGTGATTCCTACAGACCAATTTTCTTTCCTGATTCAGCCCCTCATTTTAACACTTGACTATTCTTTATCTACAGACCAATCAACAATACTCTTTATTTTTAGAATTTTTTCTTTATTTTACATCCTCAAATACAGAACTAGGAAATTTTATGCCAAGTTGAATTTTCCCTCGCTCTTAAATGTTGCAATCCTTGGTCACTATTCCTCCAGAAAATTTTTTCAAACAAAATGACTAAGCGAACAGGGCAGCCATTTTATATTTTTTTAAAAATTAGTTAAATATTCATAAGTATTTTTTTTTATTTTTGGCTTTATTTTCATAGTATTATATTTCATAGCGTGAAACTTTATTTTATTGTAAAAGATTTGTAAGTATGTTGTTTTGATTTATATTTTCAGTTATTTTTTATATTTGATTATTTACATATTCTTTCACAGCATATTCAGGTGTTTTATGAGATATTTTTACACAGATGTAGAAATCGTGTTGGGGGTATTTTCCTGGTCTATTTGGGAATAAAACTAACTTGAACTTGTAAGGATCTTAAGTTTTACTAACGTTTATTTTATTTTAAATCTTTACTATCACTTCTTATTTTCTACTTCCGGCCAGAATTATAAGCGTGAAGGAGTTTATGCAAAGTTGTCTGGCGAACGCCAAGTATTTAAGTGTGGCCTTTTTGCCAAGCAGAAGAGAGGAAGCCGTGAGTTCGAAGCAGGCCGCTTACCTTAGAAGTTACGCAGTTGCTACTTTGCCTTCCAGGCCAGAGGTTTTAATCCTCTTGATAAATTAAACGTATTGTAGTGTTCACAGTCTCTGTGGCTACATACGCTTTCCTGTTATTATAAGGCCAATCTTATTCTAAAGTTAAATTAGAGTTTAGTTTTATTTTGATATCTTTTAAGTTAGACCCCGAGTGGAGGGTCATTGTATTCCGAAGTACGGAAGTCATTGTATATAAAGAAAAAATAAAGGGTTTTGTATACCCTTCGTCTGTATCCTGTCTACTTACTACAATTAGTGAACATAGCTTTAGTAAGCTCTCTGTTCTAGTCAGGTCATTGTATGTTTCCGAAGAAGGTTAGAAGAAACATTGAACCTGATAGTGGCGCCCGACGAAGAATAACCATGGCCGAGTTTCAAGAAGAACCTGTGCTGCCTGCAGAAACAGGCTCAGAATCCAGAAATGCCAGCTGCCGCCCTGGAAGGATTTGGGTTATATTGTCCAGACCATGCGCGCTTCGATGAAACCAGAAGCAACGTTTAATGGAAACTCACAGGTAACCAGTTTTTTGGAAAAATTGGATGACCACTTCATGCTCTACCCCGTGCACGAGTTTCAAAAAGTTACCTTAGCTACCAGCGCTTTGAGGGGCCAAGCGCTTAACTGGTTCAAATGTATCGGCAGAAGTCTCTTGGGTCAAGCAGGAAGTCCCACCTATACTTACGAGAATTTCAAGACTGCCCTACTAAAAGCCTTCCCTGTTGTAAGGGATCGTGCGAAATTAGAAACAGAACTTTTCAGTATATATCAACAAAGAATGGAAAACATCTCGAGCTTTATTTTAAGAAAAATTCACGTTTTCAAGCTCTTGTATGGAAACCGTCCGGATCCTGAAATAATTCAAGTGATTTTGCCGAGGTTACTACCCCAAGTGCAAGACTTTATTGAATTGAGAAATCCGACTACACTGGAAAAATTATTTGAGCTAGCAATCCAGTTTGAAAGTAGAAGAACGGCGGACGTCGAAAGAAGACGCCAATATCAACAGCGAAACCAATTTGGTACGCCAAGACTACAGCAAACTCAAGCACATGGCTACGGAGAAAAAGCGAATCAGTGGGCAAGGAAACCCGAGCATTCAAAAACAGCCGGCGAACGTCGACAGTTCAATAGCAACCCAAAAAAAAAAGTCTCAAGGCCAGTGGAGAAAGAAGGAAAGCACCGAAAGGAAAAATAATTTAAACTAAAACGGATTTCTGCTGACGAGAGGGTGCGGAAATCCGAAGGCCACGAAAACCCCTCTTCCTACAAGTTAAATACAGTAATGGTGAAAAATTTAACTCTTCCGAAGATTGAAGTCTTGGTAAATAATATCCCGGCCACCGCACTCCTGGATACCGGCGCGCAGTGTTCCTGTGTGGCAGAAGTCTTTTTAGAAAGTATTTTCGCAAATACCGCATATATAATGCGGATAATACAACAGTATTAGCGGCGCAAGGAGAACAATGTAAGTGCGTAGGTAAAGTACCTTTGTACATCCGTATCAAGGACGAACAAGTAAAGGTGATGTTTTTTATAGTAAAGAATTTGCAAGCACACTTAATACTAGGAATAGACTTTTTTCAGACGCACAAGCTACACTGGATTTTAATGAAGCGTCCCTTAAGCTGACGATGAAACCAGTGCGTGTAGAAAAGGTTGAACCGCCAAGGTTAAATCTCGACCACCTGCCTAATGACGAGCAAGATAGAATCCGACAAGTGGTAAGTGAATTTGCTTCCTTATTTAGTGATATTCCAGGATTTACCAGGTTACTAACCATAGTATTGACACCGGAGATGCATTGCCGGTTCGTCAAAAAAACATACCGGTATGATAAGAATAAGGAAAAAATTATAGAATGGCATATTACCGATATGCTACGTAAAAAGATCGTAACGCCTATCTCAAGTAGTTATGCTAGTCCCGGTGGTTTTATGTAAGAAAAAAATAATGATTATCCTTTGGAGCATCCAAAAAGGTGGAGATTCGCTATTGATTACCGTAAATTAAATTCCATAACGAAATATCCGGTATATCCGTTACCGATTATAGAAGAAAGAAATTTAAGGAACATAAAATCAACC